TTTTTCTCTCTCTCTCTCTCTCTCCCTTCCCCTTTTCCCATCTCCACTGTTCTTCTTTTCTCCCTATGTGTGACCAGACTCAGACGCAGTTGGAGCATGCCCGAATACGGGAGCTCGAGCAGAGCCTGCTGTTTGAGAAGGCACAGGCTGAAAAACTCCTCAGAGAATTAGAGGACACCAGGGTAATCGACCCCCACTTGCCCTGCCTGCAGAACAGCGCGCTTGCCCCCTGCGTTGATGCTAGCGACGCCTTGCTTTGGGTTTCTTTTCTTTTTTTTTTTTTTTTTTTAAATGGTTTGTGGGGTTGATTGGTTTTGGCTTGAATTTAGGCTTCCCTGATTTTTTGTTTGGTTTTTAATTTGCTCTCTCTCCTGAAAATGGTAGTACGATATAATTTCTAGCTTTGCTTCTTGTGTGGGGACTTGTTTCTCAGATTGAGTTTGCTTCTCTGCCCCATGCCACCATTTGACACATGAGCTCTTCACAATTCATCTTTCAGTTAACATGCCCAAATAATATCTGCACCCTGCACAATTCATTCTGCCTTGAGGCTCCCCCAGGCTGCAATAGAAAATAACACTGCAATCAGCATTCCCTTTGTCCTCCCTCCAGCTGTGGGAGCTGCCATCTGAAATGAAAGATCCTGGTGAGTGCAGGTGGGCCAGCTCTGTTCCTTGGCCATGCCTGCAACAGGACAGGCAGCCCAGATGAACAACGCACCCGATCCTAAAAGCAGCCAGATGTGGAAAGGGCTTTTTCATGCTGGTGTGGTGTAGGAAGCGATGACTTGCCTACAGTGAGCTTGCTCCTCCACCAATGGTTTTGTTAGAGCCGTAGAAAACACAAATGTGAGGTTCTCCAAAAGGGCTAAATGGTTTGAAGGGCCCATCTAAAACAAAAAATACCCAGCCTCCTGGGCTGATGGTTAGTGGGGAAAACGGCAATTGAAATGAAATGGAATTGATCGCTTGTGTTTTTGGCACTGGAAGATCCGCTTGGTTTCCTTGTTTCTTCTGCCTTTTTCTAATATTTCACCTAGTCAAATCTCCTCCATCCATAGCTGCAGCACCCTGAACTCCCTGTGACTAGCAGGTAGTTCAGCCCTGTTAGGATACATTCAGATCTTAAGACATTGATCCATAGCCCTTATGCTCAGTGTTAACCATGGCCAGAGTTGTCTTGCATCCTCTAGCCTTCTACGTTATTTTTACTTTGCTATTAACTCTAACAAGTACTCATGTGTAAAAATCCCCTTTCTTTTTTACACCAGGGTAAACAAATTATGATGCAGAAGAAGGTCTGTAGGCTGAGGATTGCTGAGCAATAAAGGAAACATGATATGCTTAATGCTGGTTTAAATGCTTGTGATATTCCTGCATGTGCAGTCACATTTCCTCTGTGCATCATCTGGCAAGATGCCTAGTCTGGAAATATAATGCCCTTCCAGGACATTATTTTTCATAAACCACTGTTGCTCTCTAGCGAATTTCAATGGTTGCTTCAAAGATGTGTGTTTCTCTGTGGAAAACGAGAGGTTCGTATTAGGAAAAACAAATTGCAATTGGCACAAAGACATAACTGTTAGAGTTATTGGTGATAGTTACCCTGGTGCAAAACTATACTCAAACTGGAGGGTGCTGGGTATTCTTTTCCTGTTTATTTCAACTTTGACTAATGTACTTTGGATTTACTTCCGCTGGAGCACACTCACTAAAAGGAAGGATGTGGCTATGAGAGGTGGGGACTGACTTTGTCTTCTCTGTCGTGTTGCAGTTAACGACGGTAGCGGAGAAGTCCAGAATCCTGCAGCTGGAGGAGGAGCTGAGCCTCAGGCGCAGCGAGGTGGATGAGCTTCGGCAGTGCCTCAGGAGCTCTCACCAAGCAGAGACCCCTGAGCATAACCTTGGCTTGCAGTCAGAGGCTCTTCGTCTACGAGATCAATTGCTGTCTGCCAACAAGGAGCATCAGAAGGAGAGCAGCCAGCTAAAGGAGAAGTACGAGAAGACATTAAAGAAGTACCAGCAGGAGATGGAGAAGCTGAAAGCTGTCAATGAGAAGTATTCGCAGGAAATCGTTGACCTAAAGCATAAAGTTCAACAAGCCACTAATGAGAACATGGGGCTTATGGACAACTGGAAGTCCAAGTTGGACACGTTAGCTTCTGACCACCAGAAGTCTCTGGAGGACCTCAAAGCCACATTGAATACAGGCCCCGACACCCAGCACAAGGAGATCGTGGAACTGAAGGCAGTGGTGGAGAGTATAAAGATGGAGCACCAGCTTGAGTTGGAGAACCTGAAAGCAAAGCATGATATTGAGACAGCTGTTCATATAAAGGAGAAAGAGAGCCTCAAACTGAAGTTGCAGGAGGCTGTGGATGAAGTGGAAAAAAGCAACAGCAACTGGAAAATGCAACTGGAAACCAAAAGCAATCAGCACCTTCTTGAGCTCCAAGATGTGAAGGACAAGTGTCGAGATGCTGAGCTGAGGGTGCATGAACTGGAGAAACTTCACGGTGAATATAAAGATCAGACACAAGCAATAGCTTTCTTGAAAGAGCAGATTTCTTTGGCTGAGAAGAAGATGTTGGACTATGAAACACTGCAGAAAACAGAAGCCCAGAGCAAACAGGAGATCCACAGATTGCAGGAAAAAGTGCTTGTCTTAGAGAACAAGCTGCAGTCCATGGAGGCCCTGCATCCTTCTCAGCATGCAAATGTATGACTTCTGGGTCATTCTACTTGTTTGTTATCACTGTTCATAACCCTTCCTAGGAGCAGCCCTCAGCTGCTGCCTTGTGCAATTTTCTGAGGCTTCTGTGCCTCAGAGTATCTGGATGTCTTTACCTTTCATCGATAGTGCTTTTTCTGCACTGCATCTCCATGCCAAAGGTGTCTTCCCATTCTTGAAAGCCAGTACAGTGGCACAATTAGAAGAAATTAGAGTCAAGAGAAGCAAGTGGGCCACATCTGGGCTTGAAGGCACATGAGCACTGTGGCAGCAGAATAAGACTACCGTAGTTTGTCAGGGGTGGGCTCTCATCCTGAGCAAGCCGTGTTCTTAGCTGAAAAAGCATTTTTGCTTTTAGTGTATTATTGAGCAAGGCCCTTTAGGGGTAGGTGGGAGGACAAGGTGGAAGAAGAGTCGTTGCCCGTGCTGAGATAGAGCACGTAGCTTGCTCAGCACGTGGAGCATGGTTTGAGGGCCTCAGTTAGGGGGCTGAGCTGATGGGATTGGGTGGGAGGTGCGTGCCAGCAATGCGGCAGAGGCAGTGGGGGAGGCTTCGCAACATATACAAGAGACACGGGGAAATGCTGCATTTAAGGATTGTAGTGGAAGAGGTGCTAGCAAGGGTCAGGATGGCACCAGGCTGGGGAAATAAAATGTCTGATTGAATACGAGTCCTGAGCCTCCCAGGGAAGGCTAGAATAAAAACAATAATAATATGAAGAGGTCAATTTTCTGTGGCCTTTGTGTCTTTTTAAATCATCTTCATTTTTTTGACTATTTGCCACAGGATGCCATCCTGCCTGTGTGGCATGGCACAGGGATACATGGCTGGTTTTGCACTAGAGTGAGGGGAGGAGATTGCTGCTCATGGCTCTAGGCTGAACTCCTGTTCGTGTTTGGATTTTGCATGATAAATGAGCAAAAACCCAACTTACAACTTGTCCCTGTGGGGATGCAGAAAATGAAAATAAGCCATGAAACGCGCACGTTTTAAGAATACTCATTTGAAATCTATCACTGGCGGTGTAGTCACTGTTCAGACTGAGGTGCCAATGAAATGAATGCAATGCCTATGTTTAATTTGCCAGCACGAACAGCCCCACTGAAATCGGTTGCACCTCTAGGCGGGAAAGTCAAGCCCATGAATTACTGTTGGCCAAGTGAGAGCTTCGTGCCTGCAAAAAGGCATGCTGAACTGGACAGGAGAGGCAAAAGCCCAAGGAGCTATCCACAGCATTAATGGTATTTCAAGGGTTGCTCAACATGTTTCATCTAGTGAAGACAGTCGTGAACAATAAGTACAGCCAGGGCCCTGGGAAAAGTTATTACAACATGTCACATATTATAGCCAATATTCAAACAGGAATGAATGTAAAAGAAGAAGCTGGAGGCTTGTTCCAGAGCCCTTTAAATAAGTGAGAGGGCTCTGGGGGATATTGATACTGGATTAGAACCAGGGAGTCTTGAAATAATTACTTTAACTATGTGTCGATTTAAAATCAGGAAAATGTGGGAAGAAATGCATGAGTGAAAGCCTTTGAGTATCACAAGGCAAACTCTATTTTTAAATGTCTTAGCTAATTTAATGTGACTGCAGTATTAACTATCCAAATATTTTAAACACACAAATGTGTCTTGTGACCATCTTTCCTAGACCTTCAAGTGAGAACCACAGCTGCGCTTCCAAAGAGCAGTTAAATAGTTTTTCTGTACCAAAAGTACATCAGGTGGTGTATTCCCTCTTTGGGTGTGCTTCTGCTTCTGTTCAAGACGTATCCTGCAGCCCACTCAAGCTCTCAGGGCCTGACCTTGGGGCTTTCAGTGGTGGTGGCCACAGCAACTGCTTGATCTGGGGCATGTGCTGAGGTCCCACCAAAGGCTGCTGGACGTGAAGAGGTTTAAAGGGCTGAATTGCAGCCTCTGCAATGGAAAGCTTGATCGTGAGCTCTGCGGTCTCTGGCTTTTCATGGCAGTATAGACAAAAGAGGATAGGGAAAAGGCAGAATCCTCTATATGGACCAGCATTTGCTTTTTATTATTTTTATTAATGTATTCATTCTCTAATATTATTTTATCAATGTTTTATTACTGTGTTTAGAACTTTGGGCACAGTTAGATTCTTCAGAAGTTGAGGAACTTGTTGTCTGATCGGTCTCAAGCTGAATGCTAAAGAGCATTTGCACCTGAAAATTTGCCATGATTAACCACAGGAGACTGGTCCAAAGGAGAGCAGCTCTTCCATCGCTCTGTGCAAACTCCGGGTGTGTGAAAGCTGGAACCAGAGCTTACAGGGGAAGCCTGATCTCTTTTCCCTCCCGGGTGAATCTTGCTGTTGTTCTCAGCTGCCTGTGGTGTGTAGGCACGCTCAGATAGTACCGGTTAACCTTCAGTAGTACCCAACTGTAGAAGTGACTCCTCAAAAGCCTTTGTTTCCCTCCCAGGAAGGGTGTAAAACACTGTAACGTGGGTACAGGATACACCTCTGCTTTGGATGGGGCTTTGTGGTTGTTAACTTTGCTTTGAATCTTTGGGTAAAGGGCTGTTTTACATCTCATATTTTACATTTATTTCAGATGATTGAAACTAATGATATTTCAGAAGAAAAGATAAAGATGAAGCAGACTATGGAAGGTAGGAAATTTTATTGTTTTTTCTTGGAACACCCTGTTCTTGTGACTCATGTGCCTTCCCTTCCTCTAACTTTCTGCTCTTGCAGGGACGGCTGTGTGGAAGGGGCTTAGGAGGCAGTTTCGTGTCTCAGATTTTGCTGGATGGCATTTGTTGTCTGGCTTTTTTTCCCTCTAATCTGGCTGAGCATGTGCAGGGATGGATGTTTTTACTTGTGTTACACACTCACCATGCAGATGGTGCAGGCTGGAGACAGATCTGGGGAAATGGGCACACTTCCATCCCATCACTGATTTTTACAGCAGGTAAAATCCAGCCATTAAATGCAATTTGTTCATAGGAGAGGACTGTTAATGGTAGATATTAATGTGACTGGCTTAAAATAATGGGGGTTACTTTTTTTATTAAGCTTACTATAAATCAAATCCATCCTTTTAACAAAATGCAGAATTTATGCACTCAGAAAAATTGTATAAAGTAGCTTTGAAACTGAATTGCACTCAGCCTCCCTCACGAAGAGGGTAAGCTGTAATGCCTAGTCTGAGCAACAGCAGACCTGGCAAGATTAGAGCTGGATGGCCCAGATGGTCTCTGTTGGGAGCAATGTCCTACCACATTGCATGTGCATGACACATGCTTTTGTGTGTCTGTGAAGGATTCAGGGCTGTTCCAAGACACGTAAGGTGCTTCCAGATCTCATCTTCCCTTGCTCGTTCCCAGGAGACTCATATTTCTTCATTCTTCCTTAGGGATGTTGTGTGTGTTTGTTTGGTTTTTTAGCAGAAAACATTATCAGTGTAGATCACAAAGGTGATCTCTAAAGAACGAACTTGTCACTTCTCTTTTCAAATGGCATTTGGCTTAGGGTGGCATAGCTTTTTCTCAATTATTCACCTCTAAGGAGTCTGTTCTCTGCAAAGCCCTTGTTAAAATCCTGCTGAGCATGTAGCAATCTAAACGGAGGTTACTGGGGACTTCTGCAGGCTTAAACTTTACTTAATAGAAACTTTGTTTGAGTGTCCCTCCAGCTGTTTGTGGATTCAGACAGAGGTGTTTTGTCCTATTTCCATCTGCCCTCAGTGCTAGCTAGGCATTGTCAGTCGGCCTCATCACTGTCTCTGCAGGTACAGGATTACGTATATGCTATACCAAATTGTATGCTGATTGACAGGTAATTCCTGCCTAGTGAGGGCAGAACATAACTAGGTCCAGCAGCCACTGCTCTTAAAATGGCCACTCGGTCCACGTGCATGTTGTTTCCACACTGAATAAGCCATATATACTAAAAACAACCAGTTCAGACTTGAGTCACAAAAGCATCATACTTCAAATCTACGGCTCTGTTTGAGTGTGGAAATGCATCAGTTTCAGAAAACATGACTTTTAAAACTGTCTCTGCCTTCCAGTGTAGGAGGTAACACAAAGAAATGTGCTGAAAGCTCCTTTTTGTGTTTTTTATTAATGTTTTATTCCCTTTTTTTTTTTTCCCCCTCCTTGTGGTTGCTTTCTTAAACCTGTCCGATATGGCTTCCCAGCTGTGTATCCTGCCTCCTAATACCTGGATGGTGGTGAGATGCAGTGAGAAACTGTCTCCTGCTGCTTCTCTGCCGATGGAGGGTACCACCACCATGCCCCTGTCGCACCCCGACCTGTGCTGTACACTCGATACCTTCCTGATTTGCACAAAGCATTTTCCAAGCTTCTATGTCTTGTCTTTTCATTCTCCCACAGACCTCCAAGACAAGCTGAGTAAAAGAGACAAAGAGGTGTCATCGCTGGCATCCCAGACTGAAACTCTAAGGGCCCAAGTAAGTGGTAAGTTTCCCTAATCCAGTGCTGGTGGGAACTAGGTGTTTCCCTGCTCGTCCGCTGTACTGGTGTTTAAACAAGGGCCCAGGTGCTGAAAGGGGCAGGTCTAAAACATGACACTGCCTGTCTGTTAGTGGATATTGTCGGTAAAAATTTGTTCAGGAGTTCTGGTCTCTTTTCAGGAGGTGAATACAAACCCTCCAGAAGATATTTATATCCTGTGAGAAGGGGTTTTTGGGTTCATCGAATGTCAAAAGCTGAAACAGGCAGAAATAAATGGAGCTGGGCATGTCGTTTCTGAGATCTCCCCTTAAATAGGGCTAGATCCAGAGCTAATCAGACCTGTGCTGTTAGGAGTGGGAATTAGGAAAAGGCAAAAAGCAGGGATGTAAGTAAAGGACTAAGTGACCTTTCTTCCCCCTGTATCCTCTGCTTCTCGTAGCTTTGGAAAATAAATGCAAAACGGCAGAAAAGAAGGCTGATTCGGCGTTAAAAGAAAAGAAGAGGCTGGAAGGTGAACTGGAAGCCTTGTCCAAGAAAACACATGATGCTTCAGGGCAACTGGTCCTGATTAGCCAGGAGCTACTCAAGAAGGAAAGGTCAGTCCGCAGGTCTGAAGGACGAAGCTGGACAGAGTGTGTTTGTGTTCATTCAGGATGCTGTAATTTACCACCAAAAGAAATCAAAAGGTTGAATTGTTGAATTCCAGCCCCCAGCTTTCCTGTTCTTTAGAGGTGCTTATGTGGGAATTTGGTTAAAATTAGGGGCTATGAATGATCGAAGGGGACTGCCCTTTCACTGGTCACCAGGAGCTGCAAGACAGCTCAGTGCCCCTGTAGATGCGGAATAAAGTCATCTACAAGCCAGCTAAGCTGGCTGCTGCCCTCCTCTGAAACACAGTGCTCTGTGCAGGTTCCAGTCTCTTTACAGCTGATGCAGTGAGGAGGACAAGAGCTCTGAAGCCCGCAAAGTGGTGGGAGTTGGGTCAGGTTTGCTCGCTGACCTTTCTTTGGCTCTGTAACAAAGGCGGGAGGGAGTGTGGCAGGACTGCAGTGGTGTGTGGGCTCTGGAAATGTCTTCACCTTTTCGTGCTGCTTCTTCCAGGAGCCTGAACGAGCTGAGAGTGTTGTTACTGGAGGCAAACCGGCACTCGCCTGGGCCAGAGCGGGACCTGAGCCGGGAGGTGCACAAAGCCGAGTGGCGCCTGAAGGAACAGAAGCTCAAAGATGACATCAAGGGGCTGCGAGAGAAACTGGTTGTGCTGGTGAGGGCACCAAAGCTCCTCCTGGCCTTGACCTGGGGGCTTGGAGGGCTGTGTGTGGCTCGTTGGGGGTTCTAGCCCTTCACCCTTACTCCAAGTCTTTGTGCTTTCTTTTGTGCTACTGAGCATCTGATGGGAACTTCCTTGACAGTGCCTGTGAGCTGTGGCCTGGCTTAGTAGCACCTCATTAAGCAGCAAAAATGTCCATCTGTCCTTCTCCAGTGTTTTCCTGTTCCCACTGGTTTTAGATCCATGGCTAAATAGGGCTAAAATTTGTGAGAGAAACTGAAGGTCAGTCAGCTACCCCACGTTGCTTATTCCTAGATCAGAGAGTGTGTAAAACAATGTCCTCTAATTCCTGTGTACTTCAGTGTCCTCCAGTGGTTGAAATGTGAATAATTTATTTGAACTCTGCTGGGAACAAATTGGAGCTGCTGCTGGTTGTATTCGATACGATTGCCTTCAGAGTTGTGCTCTGACCCCATCTACTGTTGAAATCAAAACATGGTTATATGAGTAACTGGATTTCTACTTTGCTTAGTTTCTGTAGTTATTGGTTTTAATCTAACATGCTCCTATTTTCCCTTTGCTGTATAAGGACAAGGAAAAATCTGTAACGGATCAGAGGCGATACTCCCTGATCGACCCCTCGTCAGAGTCGGAAGTGATCCGGCTGCAGCACCGGCTCGTCAGCACGGAGGATGTGCTGCGCAATGCGCTGGAGCAGGGCCACCAGATGGAGAAGCTCATGGAAGCAATGAGGCTCTCCTCCGAGAAAACACAGGTAGAGCGTCGGCAACCATTTCCCAGGTTGCTCAGCCCTCAGCAGTCATTTCTCTTGAGAAATCTCCTGGGACCTTGCCCTGTGCTGTGGGGGGTGATGCACTCAGCTGGGTCCCTTTCCCTCTGCTGGAAACAGCCTGGCAAGACTTTGTTCTGTCAGATGTAGCTTAAAACCAAGAAGAGCCTTGCTAGTAATTACGGATCTTCTTGTGCTCTGCAAGAATGGTTGCTAAATGTGGTGTTTTGGGGAAGGTTGCAGTGTGAGTAACTGTTCTTTATGTGTACAGTGACATGTTGCTGCACATCCTTGCCGTACAGGCACTTTATAATAGGGAAGTTGAGGATTTCTGCCATCTCTGTTCTTTGAGAGGATTATTTCTTTGCAGCCCATAAGCGCAAACTTTGGAGGTGACTGGGAAAATGTTTTCCATTTCTCTAACCAGTTGCTGGAGGAATCTCTGTGTCTCATCTGGGTTTGCTGATGGACCATGAATGTTCACATTCCAGTTGCTATCTTCTCTTCCCAACTTCCTCTGGTCTCCCTTTGTTTCTTCTGACAAAAGCAAAACTGCTTCTGTTGTTTGTCTTGCATCCTTCTTTGTGAAATTGAAGGCTGCAAATAACTTGACTCTCCACACTTGGCTTTTTCCATCTCATACCTGTGGTGTCTAAGCCCTGACTGATTCTTCCTGTGAAGTGACCTGCCCCTTGTGCCAAGCTTTGTGCTTCACGTCCTTTTTTTCTCTTCTAGCTGTATCTTCTCTTGTGTCTGCAACCAGGTCATGCCTTTCAGAGCCCAGATGCGCCAGTGCTCCTCTTGTACTTGCTCACTTAAATTCTTAGCTGAAAAATATCTTAGGGTAGTACAGAACAAGCCACTAGACACAGAGAATGGGCGGAGAGCTTGTTTTCCCTGATGCAGGTGCAGATATGTTGTGGTAGGTAATCTGGGGGGGGTATCAGGTCTTCTCCTCCTCTGACACAGTCTTCTGCACAGTTTGTAGATACACTAAACAGCTGTTTGCATTGCGGTAGTACTTGCAGGGAGGCAGTCAGGAGGAGGGTGCACGGTAAAAATTGCAGCCCTGAAAGCTCTGCTGGCTCAGCTGAGGATCTGTGTGTTGCAGACAAGTCTCTATATCCCGCAGTGCAGCGGCAGCAGCTGTCTGCCAGCACCACACAGGACAGCTGTAGTCGTGATGACAAGTTTGTGGCAGTCCAAGGCGTACTATAATCCTGTCAGTACCTCCAGAGTGACTTTAGTTTCTGCTGTAATTGCTATGTGTCAAATGAAAATGCATTGTGACAACCTCATCTGTTGGAAGCTATGGGAGGGGTGGGGAAAGTTATTCTCTGTTTGCTTTAAGGCTAAGTCCCTTGAAAAAAGGAAATCTTTCCTTTTGCATTCCTGTCTCCAGAGGTGGTGCAGGTGGTAGTTATTTCTTTCCCAACTGTAGAAAATAACTAATCTTACATAAAGTGGGTTGGAATGGACCTTATGAGGTCAGCTAATCTATCCCTGGTATTACTTTGATACTTTCGTGCTTAAGAAATCTTAGAGATAAGACAAGACAGTATTATGCTGTCAACTACAAACTGTGGTACTAAGAGACAGACAGAGGATTATCGCGGGAAGCTAGGCTTCAAGCTTCTATTGATGTCAGATTTTTAAAGTGCCTGGTTACAAGGAAGTCTGGATCAAAGCTCCCTAGTTTCAGTATGATATCTGTTCATCCTTCCCCTTATGAAGTGGAGTTGTTAGCCAGGGGCTTTCAGTCTGAGCCTGAGGTGGTTGTTGGCCTAAAGAGATCCTGGTGCAATAGTTAGGGAATTGATGGTTCTTCCCAGAAGCCACATTTCTGCTGTAACCCATTCTGCGCTACCTTCTGACCTCCCGTCTCCTCTCTGACAGCAGCAGCTGTTGCCCAGGGATCTGCCTTGGCATCGCTCTCCCTTTGTCTGCAGAGCCTTCACGTCGCAGCACGCTCAAGAAGGAAATCTCTAATTACCACAAGCTGCTGCTGCTCTTCCCTTCGCAGGCTTAGTCAACCACCGTGCTCTGCAGTCCTTGATGTGCATGGCTGGCCTTGCTGTTAGACGAGGAGGTGCAGGAGCTGGGAGAGCATAATGGCACTGTGTCTTCGTCTCATTGTCGAGTAATTGCTGCCTTGCTGTTTCCGTGCCTGCAGCTGGAAAGTATTTGTCCTGTAATAGAGGAAGAGGATCTTTGCCTTCTCCATGTCTTGGGAGACCCTGATCTCGCAGCGTTGCAGGAAATGACAAGGGTTTGGCACTCGGGCCTTTTCTTGGAGAATTTGCAGTGATTGCTCTGGGAGCTTTTTTATTTAATTTCAAGTGAATTACAGCACTTTGTGTTCATTATCGTGACCATGTACTGAGATGAAATTTCAAACCTAATTCCTGGTATCTGATAGCTGCTTAGTACATGGATGGGGTGTGCTGCAGGTAGGATATATTGCCTTGTGTAAGGCCTGAATCGCCTGTGGTTGTGGGTGCAGACCCAAGGCCGAGTCACTACAGTGGCACTATTCTGGCTATCCATCCAGGTAGGATTCACTGCCTGGCAAACAGTTCAGGCTCTCAAAGCAGAGCTCAGTTTGAATCTCTGCCTGGTTTTCCCGCCCAAACTAAACCTCTGTCCTATAGGGTTGATTATGCACCTTCATGGTCACAGTGAGAATGGAAGCTGGGTAGCTGGGACTCCTCTAATGATGGGTTTTAAACCTTGCAGTCTTGTCTCCCCATAATGTCTGGTTTTGCTGCCATCAGCAATTCATAAACAACGGTGAATCTGATTACCAAGACCCGAGCAACTGACATCTGGCATGCTGTGACTTCAGGCTGCAGCTTTCTTCTCTTGTTTGTGCCGGTTGTACTGTCATTTTGAAGCTGAAGGGCTCCATATTATCCCTGCTAAAGAAACAGTATAAATGTTTAAAAGTTCTTGTGCTTTCTAAAGATAGAACAGCCTGTCCTGGCTGCCGGACTTGTCCCCAGAGATGGGAAATGGGGAATGGCGAATGTCCTTTTTGCTGCCGGGATGTTCGCTGTGCTGTGTTCTGCAGCTAACGCTGCCCTTGGCTGAGGGTTTGTTTATTGGGATTTAAGAGTCAGAAGTGAAGAGCGAGTCTGTGTCCGTAAGGAACTCGGGGGATGTTTTGTAGCTGGGAAAGATGCAATCCGGCATGTGGGGGTTGGGCCAGGGTGCAGAGGGCAGGAAGCTTCTTGCCTAAAGTGGGCTGGAATTTTTGCATTCTCCTTTCCTTGTGTGGAGTGGGCACTGTGTGCTGGGCTGCTAAGGAAGGAGGTGGCAGACGTGCCAGATCTCAGCACTTGCAGGCAAAACCACTAGGCTCTGTGTCCCTCTTCAGTTAAGTACTGTCCGTTCTCCATTGCAGACTGTTGGAAATTCTGGGTCTGCTAACGGGATTCACCAGCAGGATAAATCCCACAAGCAAGAGGTAAGTTAAAAGCAGAATGTTGTTTAAAACAGTGACTGCTTCATGTGGTTTCTTGCCTGCTGTGCTGGGGACAGCTCTTGGACGGAGGCAGTTCGGCCAGCAAAGCTTGACTGTGTCATTCCCACAGCGAAAGCAAGGGGCTTTGCACAACGCCAGTTCTCAAGCATGGTGGGAACCTCACCTTACCATTAAAACCACTTGAAGCCATCAGGAAGGTGCTAGTGAGATGCACGCTGAGGTGCAACGGGTGCTTCCTCTGGGAGAAGCAGTGGGGAGGGAGTTTCCCTTCAGACTCCTGGGTCTGTGCCTGTATGACTCTTTTCCTGGCAGTCCCAGCTAGAACCTGCTCGGTCTCAGATCTCTGCCTTCCCCTCTACATGGGTGGCATTCATGGGACATGCTGTCCTGGTCTCCTATGGTTTTCATGATGTAGGGCAAGATCTGTAGCCTCAGACTTTGTTTCCTTACAGGCACAATGGCCAGCCTGAGGAAGAGGCAATGTGGCTTACTGGGCAGAGCAGTGGGTCAGGACATGGCAGGCCTGGTGGCCTCCCACTCTGTGCCTCAGTTTCCTCTTCTATAAAAAGACATCTGTGCTTGCCCGCATTTTGCCTAACAAGGTCTCTTTTTTTTCCAGGAGAAGCTCTGATAGAGAAGAGGTGAAGAGGATCATTTCATGCCAGTATCAGCTCCTGTGCACAGTCAGGAAAAACAGTGCCCCATCTGGCTTTAGCACCTCCAAAAGACTAGACCCAGTATTTTCACTTTAAAGCAGGACAATGTTTATAATATACTAACTGATGTAATCAGGACAATCCTGGAATCCAGTTTTCCAAGGCAGCCATTGTTCCAGGAGGGAGCAGAAAGATCTCTCTGGGTTTGGTTTTCTTACCTGCATTGGTTTTGACTGTGGAATTTGTATTGCTTGAGCTGCCCTTATCCCACCAGCTGATGTGGTCTGGATGACAGCTGCCCCGAACGGCGGCTGAAGTGCCAGCGAGTCCCAGTAACAGCACGGGAGCTGCAAAGGGATTTGATTGTGGTGTTCAACTCCAAAGCGCGTGCCCAGGGGCTGCACACTTCCCACGTGGTCTGTCCCTTCCCTTCCACCCACCCCGGTGTCTTGAAGACCTGCACAAGCAAGTGAAACCTGCTGGGCTGACTGTTCACGCTGGCACGCGTAGGCTGAGGGAGGCAGGGTGTGGGGATGTGTTTCCCTCCTCGCCTTGTAGAAGACATCACTGTTCTAGAGCACGGAGGCTGCACTTAGTACTTGTATCACGGCATGTCGTGGGAAATAATCTGATTTCAGAGGGATATTTATTTCATTTCTTACCCACTGCTGTTTGGGGAAGGAGCTGTGATGGCTCTGAGTTTGGGGACAGGCACACCTCGCTTAGGTGTGGTTGGCCTTTCTTCCTGCAGAGAGATCGCTGAGCAGGCCTGCTGATGGCCTGGGCCACAGCCAGGCTGCCCAGCCTGGTCCCCCTCACTCCTATGTGTTTTACTGGGTCTTTTTTGAGCGCGGGACTCCACAGACAGCTGGATCTCAGCATCGCCGGCCTGAGAGCTCCATGCTGGCTGCAGTCAGTGTGGGACAGATGCCTTGAGGAGTTGGTTCCCTCCTTGCCTGTTCAACAGCTAATCGGGGATTGCCTTGGCTCTTCAGTATGATGCCCATCCCCTACTACCGGGAATGGAGGAGGCTAAGGTGCTGCTGTGAGCATTCATGCAGTAGTGGCTGTCTGTATTGGATGGGTACAGCAATCATCTGTGCGTGACCTGAGTACGAGCATTTGGAGCAGAAGGAATCCAAGACTGGAGCCAACACAGCTCTTGTGTCTGTACACGGCAGTGCAGGCCCAGGCAAGGGTCTTGTTCCTTCTTCTGAAGGCTTTACTCTTCTCTTTAACTTTGCACCGCAGCTCCCAAGGGACATTAGGGTGGAGGAAGGGGACAATATGCTCTTAAAGGTGTGAGAGAGTCCAGTTCAGATTCACTGTTCAGTACCACAGGGAAGAGTCACAGCAATATTTTACCAGGCTTCCCCTAGTTAGTGCCCGACTCCTCCAGTCTTCAGAAGTTCTTGTGTTATGATGGGGCATCTATGAAAGAGGACAAGACAGAAGAGACCACTGAGAGAGGAGATCTGAGCTAGACCACAGGCAGATGAACATCACGGCATGTCAGCTTCATTGCTTTTTGCCCCGATTTCCTACAAAGTTGTGTTACTTTTTCTTAGTGGGTTGCCAGACTCCTACTTCCTTGAAGGATGGGCAGCCAGAAGCGACCTGGGAAAGACTTGGGCTTCACGGCTGCAATTCTGCCACGAGGAGGATGTTGCTGAATCTGGGCTACGATACAATACTGGACCCTGCTCACTTCATGCAGGATTGGTGATCTCCCTCCATTCAAGGCGAGGATGAAAGAGGAAGGTGACTTCAGGGGAGTAAAGCAGGTCAGAAAATACAGCTTAAATCTGGCGCACGGCAGGGGGAGGCAGAGCTTGGGATCTAATTGGCTGGAAGTAATTCAAGTGGGATCCCATCCTGCCTTGTAGAAGTGTTTCATCAGCTCTTAGTAATCACCAGGAAGATTGCCACATCTCTGTCTAGCTCTGGGACTTCCCCAGGGGATCATAGGGGTGGTCTCCAAAATCCTCCTGGTTGGTGTATTCATCTCCTGTGTGATTTAGGAAAATTCCAGAGGGACTGTTCATTGTTACAGCTTGTGACAGTGAACACCTCACTGGGAGCTGCTGTTTTTAGAAATTTAGGGCTGCTGTTTCCCAAAGCGCTCCTGTTGGCTGGATGGTCTTTGAAGTCACTGCTGCAGCTCCCGCTGGCTTGAGTGGAGCTAATACAGAGTGCTTCTTGCAGTGCTGTCTCCTGCCTGTCTCCAAGCCCAGGGCTTCCCGGGCACCTGCAGGTGTGAGAGTCCGTTCTGGTTTGTAGCTTATTTTCCCTTATAGGTCTTCTAGTGACTTGTGCCTTCATCTACAGAGGAAAGGCATCTGCACTTTCCACCTCCCTTGATGAATCTCTGGGTCCGCACAGGGCAGGATCCCCCAAGAGTGGTTATGGGGACCACATATTTGGCTCTGTTAAATAGATCCAAAGTTGTCAGGGTGGCAGTGGTTCAGGCTGGAGGAGTCTCTGGCTCCTGGCTCCTGCCAGGGGCCATCCCATCCCCCTGTGAGTGGCTCAGACCTGTGGCTCTTCCCGGTCAGCTTGGGTGAGAATGCAGAACGGCAGCAGATGGGTCCCGAGTGGGCTTAAAGTTAGTGCTGATGGTCTTCTCTGGCTGTAAATAGCTGTGCTGGTCCCTAAGGATCAGCCAGGAGCTGATGGCACTTCTTGACTTTCTGTGGAGGCTGTTTGGTCTTTGTGTTGCAGGGCTGTACTGAAACGGGCAGCAGGGCGAAGCCAGGTCCCCTGTGTCCCCACAACCCTGGGGGTGCAGGTCCATGGGAGCTGCTCCCCAGACAGGACTGACTGCAGTGTCAACAGGGCATGTTATCACATGCGTCATCTGGGTTTCAGCTCAACCCTGTAAAGTGGCCAGGAGGGGGTTTGGACAGCAGCCATGTCCTCCCTCTCCAAAATTGGCATAGGCTTCCCGAGGGCACCTGCCTCTGGCTGCCCCTCTGAGGTTGTACGAGACCAAACTAGGGACAAACTTGGAAAGGAGAAGGAGGAGATTCCCCGGCCCCTCTATTTATTTGTAATTTTAATTGCTATTTTTGCCTATGTGGTGGTGTATAAAGTATTTCACAATATTTGGTCTTACTGGCTTGGTTCTTTGGGGGAGATTTTCAAGGGCATTGGAGCAGTGATGCACCCATCTCCTGTTGTCGGTCAGGGACTGGTTCCTGTTTGTGCCTTCACTCCCTCTTCGGCTTTAGCCTTGCTCTTATCTTGATCCCTGAGAGCTGGTGCAGGGGGGCCGCGTTCTCCCCAGCCCCTCTCCTGGCTCGTGCGTGCCATGCTGGTTTTGCATCCGGAGCGTGCCTCAGAGCACTGCTGCAAGGTGGGGAGCAGGAGGTAGCCATGCACTTGCTCAGCACCCTGCCGAAGCCCTCAGCACTGGGGGAAGGACCGGCACCCTGGTTGTGGGACCATCCCTCATGGTCAGCTGCGTTACCCCAATGGTTAGTGATGTTTTTCTGCTGAAGGCTGAGACGTTACCCGGCAAAAAAAAAAAGTCTTTGAAATGGAGACTGTTCCATGTTTAGTGGTTTCTTCTCTAACCCTCTAGACCAAAGGGAAAAGAATCTGTCTTGGTTGAGCGATTTCAGCTTTATCCCTCCTACGGCATCCAGAGAGCTGGAGCAAGGGGAGGCACCGTGCTGGTGCCCTACTGAACAACGGGTGCCAAGTTACCAGCCAAGGCTTTACAGCTCTTGCCTACCCCCAGCCACCAGCAGTTCCTCTGGCTTGCAGTAGAGATGCATGAGGGTTTCATTAAAACAAAACGATGCAAATGACACTGTAAAAGTCTTAACAAAAATTCCAGTACTCCATTGTTCGGCAGCTTTAGCAGCTCAACACTATCTTGTAGGGCGTTATTAATACACTAAGATCCTATAGGCCTCATGTAAGTTACCAGAATAAAGATGATACTAGATGTATAAATGGATGATAACCTTTTACCCATACAGTATGTATTACAATTTTGTAGCTTAGTCATTTTTTGGCTATCAGATTTTGTTAGTATGATATAAAAAAAAAAAAGACAAAAAAAAGTTTGACTGCTAATGTCTATTTTGTTATTTGATTCATTTTATTTCTTCCTGTGTACAAAAGCTGTACAAATCTCAGTCTGTGTAACTACTACAGATATGTATTCATGTACCATCCACCCCTGTCCTGGCTTGCTGGTGTGGTGAGCTCGTTACTAAACAATAAAATCTGTGGCTGAAGTCGGGCACCCCGGGGCTGCTGGGGGTGTGTTAAGGATGTTTTGCAGCGCATGAGCCATGCTGAGATGGAAATGGCTGGTGGGCAAGGGGGGGCTTTCCCTTTGCAGCTCAAATGTGGGGCTTTGGTAAGTCCCTCTCGCCCTGAGCCTAAGCAGGGACCCGGAGCCATCAGCATTTGGGCTCTACCGAGAGCAGGGCTTGCAAACAGCCGAGAGGCTGCAGACCTGCCCTGGGGGGTGAGATGCACCGGGAGCCGGCACGCGGCGTTTGCTCTTCTGCAGCCTGTGCTGGAGGTGAGGACAACCAGCTCCTTCCCTGGGTGACTCGCCGCCCGCTGCTGTCAGGGATCTCCTGAGCTGCGGGGTGATGGTGCTATTTATTAATCCATGATTATTTTCCCTCTTCCAACAGCCCCTCCCTGATGCATCCACAGCACCCCGAGGCGAGGAGTGTCACAGTGCGCTGTGCTAGACCCACCTCCCCTCACCTCGAGACTGGCGCCTACTCGTTTGAGCGGTGCCACCTTGATTTTGCAGGGGCAGAGACAGCCGTTGTGTCATCCTCATCCCTTCCAGCTCACTTACTGCAGACCTTTAGAGCACGGGGAAACGGAGATTGCTGTGGATTGGTCCCGGGGGGAGCTGCGGTTGCTGCCAGGGTCGGTGCAGGTCCGGGTAAGCCACGCTGCTCCCCAGCCCAGCCTCCTGCCCCTCTTCCCCCGTGTTCCCACCACATGCCCGTATGGATGCTCTGAGCATCGTGGGGTTACGCTTGCTCCCATGGGGCAGGACCGGGGGAATTTACTCCAGGGCTTGGTGCTTTTTTCGTGGTACAGCATCTCTTAGTTGG